ATTCATTAATACAAAATGGTCGCCAGTCGACCATTTTGAATCCTATCTGAAAAACAAAATTATTTGCATCAAGGTCCCATAATGTCCAATGTATATACCAAGTTTGAACAAAATCCATCTGTAAACAGCTGAGAGATGGTTGATTTTTAGGATTTTTTAGCTCAAAAATGGCTGCCATTCGGCCATCTTGAATCAGATCGTAAAACAAAATGATGTGCATCAAGGTCCTATAATGTCTAATGTATATACCAAGTTTGAACAAAATCCATCTGTAACCAGCCGAGAAATGCTTAATTTTGATGATTTTTAGCACAAAAATGGCCGCCATTCGGCAATCTTGAATCAGATCGTGAAACAAATTGACGTGCATATGTATAATATCATGTATGATGTATGTGTGAAGTTTGATTGTGATTGGTCTAGGCATTTCTAAGATACAGGTCGGGATGCACGCACAGACGCACACACGCACGCACACACACACACACACACACACACGCACGCACGGAGGTAAAAACATAAGTCCCCGTTTTCGGACTGCGTCCGAACGGGGACTAATAAAGTATTCTACAGTAGCACATTTAGCTATCAGTGAAATAAGCGAAAATAAAACCCAGCCAAAAATTAAACTTGTATCACAAATAAACTTAGTTGAAAGCCTGTTCAATTTTTAGTAACTTAGCGAAAATTCAAATCTGAAAGTTACATCTTTTGTGTGTACACTGATTGAAAACTGACATATGCTGAAAACTGACATATTGGCAACATACATATCTAACTGTACAGTATAAAGCCTTCAAACAAAATTTTGCTGACAATACTACTTTAATAACAGGTAATGGGACTGTATAAAAAACTGGCATCAGTATTCACATGTCCCAATGTCGTGTACAATACATGTACGGTCAACATTTTACAAAGAGTTGTTGCAGAATTCAAGAAAAAATACTAGCAATTGGCAAATTGGAATAAGCTAAGTTCTCGGAAGAGTTATGTGAAAAAGTAAAAGAAAACTAAAACCCTTTAGGTGAATTTATCTAAGGGCAATATTTGATGTTTTTTCCTGCATTCAGTACCGTAAAAATCATATTTGAGGCAGCAGCTTCAATAGAAGCCACACCCCTAACTTGAGACATTGTTTCATGTTGAAATTGACAAGTTTTGATCCTAGGAAAAGGTCTGCAATATAAGCCGCACCCCAAACTTTCACAAACCAAACAGCCACCACATATTTCAGAAAAAGATATACCATTTAATTTTAAATTAAGGCATAATTTTTCGAACATTTCAATCTTTCCTGACGCCAAGATTAGTCTAATTCAGGTTTTCCGTAGTCATTGACGTACAATGTTCATTGTGGGTAGCGTGAATGGGTAAAGTGCATTTCGACAATGAGCTGCTATTATCGTCAAACTTCTTCTTCAATGTTCAGCTTGTCTTTCGAAAACAACTAATTTCTTAATTTAAAAAAAAAAATCATGCCGTTTTCCCATCAAAATCAAAGCACTACAACAACGGTAAATCTCTCCAGTTTTTACCATGAAGTCGCCGAACTACCATTAACATATTTAAATGAGCTATGGTAATTTAAACACGTTGGCACCATCCAGCATTTTGATTGGTTAATTAGCGACTATCAGGTCAAAAAACAGTTTCAAGTCACTAAAGTGTTTGAACAAACATGGCGGATATCGTATCGGATCGAGCGTTTACATGTGACCAAAATCATTCGCTTGCGGTGAAGCTAAGTTGAATTTTCACAATATTCCAACGAATTTATTTTTTGTACGTTATTGTAATCACTACTGAGCAATAATCATCAATTGTAACACTTCGAAAACAAGTAGGTTACTCACTTGTATGAAACAAAGCATGACCGGCTGGAGTGCGATACCGTTACCGTGATCATTTGTTACTAAGAATGCATTCGTTTTTGTTTTTACTTCTTTTAGAATATACTTTTCGTTATCAAAAAAATTAAGAAAATAAATATACTGAGTATTTTTTTGTTATCATGTGAAATTTTTTTATTTTTTGATTGACTGTAATTTCCCCGATGTCTAAATTAGAACATGGAAGGTACAGTCGTTCTACCGGAAGTCAAACATGCCAGTAGTCGAACGCAATCGACTGTGTCAGACAACTGTCTCTCAGTTATGAGAGTGCTAATGAATTAGAGTGACGTCTATTCAAGAGATTATAGTTTACGGTACCGTAATCTGCAAATGCGTAAAAATCTATTTGTAGATATTATTTTTTTTGCAGTATGTTATACAGTGTGAAATTTCGTTTGTGTACAAGTTTGTCTGTGTGTAAAAAACCGAAAGTGCGCTTAGAATTGCAACAAAGTTGCAATAGATTGTCATGTATCATCCCTTCTGGCCTTTGTTTTCTGAGAAAAATTTCCCACTGACACCGAAGTGAATGCTCTAATTAAAGCCGCACCAAGACTTAACGCCTCTGAATTCGCCCATTGAAAAAAAGAATTTTAATTAAAGCCGCAGCCTCAAATAGGAATTTTACTGTAAATAAATTACCAGAATGCACTATCGTTCTCCGAATGAGGTTGGTCAAGATGTAATTAGTTTGCCTTCCTTTCATGTTGTTTCAAAATGAAAATTGACCAAATATTACAAATGCGGCTAGAATTTTTTTTTGAGTTTACAAAAGGGTAGAGGGTGAAGACTCTTCTGCTATGGGCTGGGAAGTACAAGTTGTACGACCGTAATACATGATTGGGCTGGCCTTAACACTTGAGAGGTGATCTGTAACTTGATAGGTTATTGTGGACAATAATGATCCTAATGAGCAACACCATACATACCTGTTCACAAGCAATGCATTCTTCTGTTAGGATCTTCAGTAAGGATATGCCATTGCTGTCCTGTCTTTTGTACATCTCTCGTACAATGGACAGCAAGTTCCATACACCTTCGGGTTCACGTCCCCGTAGAGGACGCAATAAACTAGCCCACTCCGCAGCTGATGGAGGTGCAGTGGAAGACAGGTACAGAGAGTTGACATCACTGCAAACAATAAACACTTATTGTTATATTGACATGATATACAATATAGTCCAAGTGTATCTCAATTCAAAGCTGACTATCACCCATTATATTTATGTACACCGAGTGCAGCCAGAAAATATATCAAGTGCAGCCAGGACATACACCGAGTGAAGCCAGGACATACACCGAGTGCAGCCAGGATATACACCGAGTGCAGCCAGGATATACACCATGTGTACTCAGGACATGCACCATGTGCAGCCAGGGCATGCACCATGTGCAGCCAGGGCATGCACCATGTGCAGCCAGGGCATGCACCAAGTGCAGCCAGGACATACACCAAGTGCTGCCAGGACATACACCAAGTGCTGCCAGGACATACACAGAGTGCTGCCAGGACATACACCATGTACAGCCAGGACATACACCGAGTGCAGCCAGGACATACATTAAGTGCAGCCAGGATATACACCGAGTGCAGCCATGACATACACCAAGTGCAGCCAGGACATACACCATGTGTACTCAGGACATGCACCATGTGCAGCCAGGGCATGCACCAAGTGCAGCCAGGACATACACTGAGTGCAGCCAGGACATACACCATGTACAGCCAGGACATACACCGAGTGCAGCCAGAAAATATATCAAGTGCATCCAGAACATACACCGAGTGCAGCCAGGATATACACCATGTGCAGCCAGGATATACACCATGTGCAGTCAGGACATACACCGAGTGCAGCTAGGGCATGCACCGAGTGCAGCCAGGGCATGCACCATGTGCAGCCAGGGCATGCACCATGCGCAGCCAGGGCACGCACCAAGTGCAGCCAGGGCATGCACCAAGTGCAGCCAGGACATAAACCATGTGCAGCCAGGACATAAACCATGTGCAGCCAGGACATACACCATGTGCAGCCAGGACATACACCGAGTGCAGCCAGGACATACATTAAGTGCAGCCAGGACATACACCGAGTGCAGCCAGGACATACACCATGTGCAGCCAGGACATACACCATGTGCAGCCAGGACATACACCATGTGCAGCCAGGACATACACCATGTGCAGCCAGGACATACACCATGTGCAGCCAGGACATACACCGAGTGCAGCCAGGACATACATTAAGTGCAGCCAGGATATACACCATGTGCAGCCAGGACATACACCAAGTGCAGCCAGGACATACACCGAGTGCAGCCAGGACATACACCGAGTGCAGCCAGGACATACACCGAGTGCAGCCAGGACATACACCGAGTGCAGCCAAGACATGCACCATGTGGAGTCAGGACATACACCGAGTGCAGCCAGGACATACACCGTGTGCAGTCAGGACATACACCGAGTGCAGCCAGGACATGCACCATGTGGAGTCAGGACATACACAGAGAGCAGCCAGGACATACATCATGTGCAGTCAGGACATACACCGAGTGCAGTCAGGACATAG